TCTCCTACATTCACTGTAAAGTCCATTCTCAGTGGATGTCACTGGTGGCTTCAAGTTTCTACATCAGCTGTACATAGTTGCATACTGGACCAGGAATGACTCTAAATATTTGTGATGTTCAAATAGTATACTGGTAGGCCGCCCCTTAAAAATCTGATTTTTTTAATGAGATCTTGTGTCCAGCAGCAACACTTTAGAAATGAACAACATTTGAATATTCAGAGATTCTGGAAGCTTTAATGAGGTAGAAGGAGGAGATGACTTTTAATGATTTCAATGTGGGAAATTCTTATTAATGTTCCAAGCAGACTATTTGTATATATCGTTATACATGTCTGGAGGGGATCTTTGAAATTCTTCATTAATTGGATTTTGAAATTTGTTCCACCAAAATGCAAAGTTCACTGCACTTGTTATTTGTTATCACTGTTCATCCAAATGGCTTCTTTTCCGATTAAACTGGTGTTTTTAAGATGAGGCCTGACTAGCAGTAAACAATTAAACCGTCAGAGGAAACACAGATTAATACCTCTAAAGGCCAGAGGCCAAACATTTGGGTGATTTACTGAGTGAATAACAAAACTCCACCTCTGTTTTTCTCTGTCCTGTTTTTCCGTCAAACACTCAGGAAAAAGAAAGCAGAATTCTTTGGCTTGGCATTCACTAAAAATAACGACGTCTTTTTTAGACAGCCATTAAAAACTCAACCCCCACCTCCAAGTTCCCACTTTCCACAGACACTTCATCCCGCTCCTCAGCGAAAAAGGCCATCAAGGCCATCCCAGAGCCACATCAAAGCCGGCCAGCTGACAGGAACAGGAAGTTCCTTCTGAACACAGCGGCTTCCTGTTGTCAGCCGAGGTGACGGACACTTGTTTGAACTCGCGCACAGAAAGGGGGCAAATGCCACACTGTCAGGCCTAGTTGCTTTACACCCTCTTCCCCTCTCATGGTGAGTGCTAACGTAAGCCCGGTTCATCCATCTCCATCTCACTGACGGCAGCCATTTTTCAGAGCTCACTGTATCAACACTGTCTGAGTTATTCCTGACCTAGGAAGTTTGAGGGTCAGGCTCCATTCACAGCCACCAGACGCTGCATTCCCCGCGCCAGCTCTGCTCAGTGTTTTTAGGAATCAGCACTTTGGAATTATTTTTAATACTCAGGGTCCCTTGAGTATATGTATGCAGGTAATGTCAGACTAACAGTGCCCGCATTGGCTGATTCAAGTACAGACTTACCAGATCCTTAAAGAGTCCTTTAAGCTGTTTGGCCTCATCTTGCAGGCGGAAAGCCATCCTCTTCCTCATTTTGGAGGATGTGCAGATGACCCGTCCCCGCATGATGGCTCGGACGTACTCCACCAGGACCCGCCGGTGCACCTCACCCACCAGCGTCTATCAGTCAGTCATGAAATGAATCACTAACTGCTCACATATAACCTTCAAGCAAATGCTACAGAGCACTTACACGTTAAACCAGCTGTTTGATCAAACAAGTGTTACCTGATAAGGTGGACAGTCCATTCTTCGGAACTTCTTGAAGTGTTGTTTAATGCTGGCTTCAATGGCCTCAAAGGCCTCAGTGTTGTTCAACCATTTTCTCTTGATCAGTTTGTCAAAGAAAGGCTGAAACAACAACAGACCATGTTCTGATTAACAGTGTACACAAACAAATTACATTTACTGAAGTACAGTACTTGCTTGAGTATCTAACTTTTTTGCTACTTCATACTTCTACTCCACTACATTTCAGAGGTAAATAGTTTTTACTGCACTACATTTATCTGATGGCTGATGGCACGATTTTACATATGATCATCTTATAAAATATGATGGATTGTTAAAACGGAATTAAACAGTTTTTTTTAGCTCTACCTCGAGCTACAACAATAAAAAGCTGCTTACACATTTATGCATCAGTAGTCTTTTGAAATTCATAACCAAAGTTCTCTCAGGACATTTTTCAAATAGAGTAGGTCTAAAATAATGAAATGTGTAACATTAAAACACTGACAGTAGTCTTTAGGCTGCGTAATGATAATATGTGTTTACTTGTACTTGAACAAGGACCATCTATAAGAAGATAGGCTATTACTATATAGTTATTCTTGATGACTGACACTGGGTCGACTTCCTCTTGAAATAAATGAAAAGATGCGATAGATACATTACTGCTTTTGTCCACAGAGGCTGCCAAAATCAACACAAAATGAAATCTCTTTGTAGATGCTTAAAGTAATTATTTTAAACTTTTTGTTATAAGATAACACATGGTGTCACTTAGTGTCATATGTAGTGTTTTCAGCCTGGTTTTTAACAAATTCTATGCGTCAGTGATTGTAAGCTTTTCCACAGTGAGCCCTTCTGTGGAAATCTAATTGATTGACAATTCTGAACTAAGAAAAACAGGAAAAAGGGTGTTTAGGTGATGGACAGTCATACAGTCAAACCTCACTGAATCATATATCCTGTATATGGTGGAAGTCTTGTTAAAGGAAAACTATTTTTAGGGTCTGCGATGGGGCGATTCTCGTAACTTACTCACCCTGATGTGCTCAAACAGTCTGTCAGTCAGCACCCTCACTGACTGGTTGATGATCCTGTCCAAGGAGGAGTTGGCTCTCTGCGCTGACTCCTCGCTGCCTTGTGGGTCACACTGCCTGCAGCGCTCCACGAAGGATCTATAGGTTATACAGGAGATATGAAGCTGAACTTGCAGTAAATTACTGTAAACCTTTAAATTAATTAAAAATTTAGAAAATGTTCAGTGGAATAATTAATCATTTATCTACCTGAGAGGAGGGCAACAGTTGACCAGGGCTATGGTCCTGGAAACATATCCGTCCCCTCGGTCTCCAAATTCTGCCTGAGTGTCATGAAACATCTCTACCTTCCTCTGGAAACTAGAACATGAAGGTTTTATGAGAACCTACTGAATACTAATATAGTCTTAAAATGAGGAATCCTGTCTTGTCCTGTAAAAATACTCAATTCAAGACTTCTTTAAAAAAGTAAATACCAGCACATTAAATAAAGCCTGAATAAAAAAAAGACAAATAAAAACCATACTCTAACATCAGTAGCTCTAACTCTTGTTTTTCCCTTCCTGTAAATCACATGTCTTATGGTTAAAACTCAGATTTTATGCCTCTATGATAGATAGATAGAATAGATAGGATAGATACGATAGGAAATAGATAGGATAGATAGGATAGATAAGATGATAGATAGATAGATTAGATATGATAGGATAGATAGGAAAGATATGATAGAATACACGATAGATAGATAGATACTCACTTGTAGAGAAAGTCAGCCAGTCCAATTAGACTACAGCGAGCAACTCTTGCCCCTAAAAACTGGTTTACAGATGTAGATCTATCCAAGTCCACCTTCAACCTCTGGAAATATGAAAGACATGAGCGATAAGACAGCTGTGTCTCAGGCTAAGAAGAAATGTACTAAATACACAAAAAAGTAAGTTTCAAAGAGGTTTTTCACTGTGAAAATTACGTGACAATGTACCTGGATGATAGAGCGTGCCAGGTTGGACTGATACTCTTCTATGTGCAGAGTCTGGGCCCATCGCCTCTCCTCTTCATCCAGAACCTGAATAAGCTCGACTGTAACCTTCTCCTGTTAAATCACAGCATAAAATTCAAATGTGTCTACTATCCAGGTTTTTTAAGGAACAGTCACGTGAAAGTAAGATTTCTTACCCTAACAATACTGATGCAGTCTTGTTCCAGCCTGTCTACAGTGTCTTGGGGCAGAATGGGTTCCAGTGCAGCATAGCTGATCGGTGTGGTTGTGCCAATGGTTCCTAGGACATCCCTGATAGAAAATCACATATCATCACAAAAGAAGTAAAATTTTCGGGGTTTGTAATACAATTTTGTCAATGTTGGATGGGAGTGTACACGTTTGCTGTCTAATAAGGTACCATACCTGTTGTAGATGTTGTAGAACCAGTCCAGTAGTGCATAGACGTCTGTGACTTGCAGTGGGCCGCTCGTAATGGTTCGAAGACGTTTGGCCACAGCTCGGTGATAACTTTCCAGATACACCTGGAATGCAGCAAACTCCTCTGGGTAAATGGATACAGCGTTCCTCCTTGCTGCGTCCAGGTCATCCACCATCCGACTCCTCAGGCGCTCCAGGTATGAAGCCAGCTGGCCCGCCTGGGTGTCTACCTGATGTGGCAGGCTCCAGTCTGCAGCCTCCGCCACAGCCTGCCTCCACTTTGCCTTCAGTCGCCGAGGACGCTGGCTAGGCTGGATCTGGGGGACCTCTTTTTCTGGCTTGGTCTCCTCTCTCAGAGCCCAGGCAGCATCAGCATGCTCCTCCTGTTGGATCACGAGCACCACCAGCCCTAGGTTGGGACCTGCGCTGGGTTGGCGGAGGGACTCCCGCACTACATCCCACATCTCCCTCTGCAGGGCCTCATACAGGAGCTCCACGTCCTTAGCCTTCCGCCGGCTCGAGTCCAGTGTTGCATTGGAGCTGAGGGATTCATCTAAGGATGAGGATGATAAGAGGATCATGCCGGAAGGGGTGCTGGGACAAAGGGTAGGAGTGAGGGTGGGGGAAGTTGTAGTTGGCAGGAGAGACAGCAGCTCACACTCTCGCTCCAGCTCCTGAATATGTGTGTCGGCCAGGAGAAGGTCCCTGTGGTTGACCAACTGAAGGATCTCCAGTACTGTGGGGAGCAAAGAAAGAACATAGGGTTGACCAACAAACAGGGAAAGGGTATATCTGTTTTTATTGTTATTGAGTAGTTGTGCATGTGCCTGACTGACAAACTGGCTTGTTTGTTGCTCATTCTGCACACTCTTCTATTCCTAGCTCCCTGTGGAGTCTGTGAACAGTAGCTTGGTTGAACTTCTATCTAGAGGAACCTGGGGTTGGAGGAAGTGCGGTCATTTCCTGATTACACAGTCTGTGGTGATTGAACCCAGTGACTCAGGGATCTGGGGACCTCTCGGACTCATCAGAGAGTTGTCTAGGATTGGGAGGAAGTACTGCTGAGGCTTGAGAGCAAAGTTCTCTAACGTAAGAGAAACTCCACGCAAAAGGCAGATTCTTCTTGGTCCCTCGATAAGTAAACTTATTTTTTGATCAGGACCCATACTCTTTACACTTGATGTTGATTGTTACCTGAGAGGGGCTCTCTGGTTTTCACCACTGTCTCCTCCTCCTCTGTTTCCTCCTCAGTCTCTTGGGATGCCTTGTCTGACATGGATTCCCTCTTCAGCTTGCCCAGACTGACCATCCTGAGGAAGGAGGGCCGCCTGGAAGCCTCCGCCTCACTGTCTGTGCTCAGGTTTCCGCAGGGAAGGCTTTCTCTGCGCTCCTCCTTACGTCGGCCTGTAAAGCTGCAAAGTATCCACAGCAGCAACAAAGAACATGAATGACTGCCCCCAAAGCCCTCTAAATAAGATCGCTATCAGGCTGCATAATTTACATGTATAGGAATGCTTCAATAGAAATGGCAATTATGAGGCTTGAGGTTTGTATTGTATTGTACAGTAGCAGCTATGTTTGGAATGCCACACATCCAATCATCTGCTAAACTGTGGTACTGCAAGCATGACTGCCTCAGTTAAAAATATGTCACTGAAAAACAAAAGAGGTTTCCGTAGATCAACAAGTTGCAATAGCATATTACATAACTCCTCAGGAAATAAGCACACTATATGCTATTCTATTACTGAACAGCAACGGTAACAGTACCTCCTCTGGGACTCAGAGTCTAATTTGTCACACTCATAGAACTCAGCTGTTTTTCTGCCATAGCTACAATTTTGTAGGGGTCCTTTTCATTTCCAGTGATTTCTTGGGATGTTATTTGCTGTTTATTTATTGGATATTCTCTTGCTGTTGATTCCTAAAAATTTGCTTTTGTACTTAGGCAAGATATTTTTTTGTCACACAAGCTTTCCTAACATTTTCTTTTACTTTATCCAATGAATGCATGGATTGTAGTAGAGCTCTTATGAAGGCTTTCTACAGCACCATGGTTCTATAAAAATGTGGAATGCATTAAAATGTTCTCCCTTTTTCCCCTTATAATCTTACAAAATCATGTAGTTCTTTGGGTTTATACAGTATATACTGAATAATAATACTAGTCTTAATCAAAGATATTATATTTCGCTTTTTCCGTTATCCACAACTGCTGAAGCATTTAAAACATGTTCCTCTTTATATAAACAACAGCTAAAATCTTCTAAGATTTTAACTCTTCTTCCTCCCCACCCCTCCTCACCGGAGCAGAGTCATAATTCCTTCGGAGCCCCTGCGTAGTCCTTTCCTTTTCTCCCTCTCTGGTGGGAGAGTCTTTGAGTCTCCAGGGCTGTAGTGGGGATAGTTGTTCCCCCACACATTGCGTCCTGATATGCGGAGTCCCTTCCCCAGTTTCCCAAGGGTTTTGAGGGGCGAAACTCCACAGATCCGCTCCAGGGTCCCCCTGAGGGGCTTCCCTTTGGGATTCCCTGCCCCGTGCCTCTCTGCGTTTACCTCGTTCTCCTCCTCCTCGCCGTCACGGGAGGACCTGAGCTGGAGGTTGCCCCTGACCTCCCCCATGATGAGGCCCATGTCACCTCCATGCCTCTCTTCCTCATCCAGGTCCACATCCTCAAAGGGGTTCAGGTTCTTGTTCAGGTCCTTCAGGTCGTTCAGCTCCTTCAGATCATTGAGATCATTCAAGTCCCTGAGGTCCAAGTCCAGCCGGGGCAGGATCAGTTCACCGTTCACTCTGGGGAACTCATGGCAGCTCTTGGACCTTCCTGGGAGCTTCTTCAGAATGGGCATGGTTGCACTTGAGATTTTACCAAACTGCAATACAAGAATACAATGTCAGCCTAAGTTAAAATGTTCAACCAAACAACAAAAAGGTCAAATATATGAGCATCTGATCATCAAATTAACATTTGACATTTATGTAAACACTATTAATTGGGTAAAACAGAGCCCATGGGGAACTGGTGTGGCAATATTGATACCATAGAGAATTAATAATCAGGATATCTTGCAAAATACCTCATAAATCCCCATACAAAAGATATGACCCTCTGCTTTAAGTTCATAGGTTGGCAATGTGTGACTGAAAGTTGAACTTGTGAAATGTGGAAAATTGTTTTTCTGGTGGTGCATCAGCCATCAGACAGAAAAACATTCTTTCACATGGTGATTATGCAATGCTCTTCACTAAGCAAATAGGAAATACGTATGCAAAATATTGCTGTGTTCACACGTGCTGAACTGCAACTTAAAAAAATATTTTACAATTCAGAAAGAAATAATTATGTTAACTGGGTTGAGAAAAGTTGGCCTGCAGCAGGTTAAGAAAAGTACAGTGGCAGGAGAGTTCCTGTACATTGCATTATCTGGACTTTGTACTGCAATACCAAGACAAAATCTGGTTCATTGACTGCTTTTCCAGGATCTATTGTTTATTTTTTTATTTTATTTTTATTGTTAATATTAGGAATCTGTCATATATTCAAAAACTATATCTTTAAGAGTGACATTTATGACATAGATTTTGTCAGAAAAGGACCATTAAAGAACGTAATACACACACAAAAACACTGGATAATCAATGCCTGAAGGTCAGTGCCTTTTAGATTTAATACCAGTGACATGGTGGTCTCTCCTTTTAAGGACCTCTAAATGAAGGTTAAATAGTAAACAAAAAGTTTAACCACTCAATATTTTACAATTCTAAGAGGCCAAAATATTCCTTGTTTGATTGTTATGAATCTCTGTGGCATCTGCCATACCACTTGATATAATGTGATCATTCTAAATTATAAAAATGATGCCATGTTTTTACACTAACAACTCAGTGCTCTGACTGGCTTAGGTTATGGAGCTGTAACATAACCGTTTCCCATATGGTATCAAGGGGAGCTGATTCATATTTTCTTCTACACATCAGAAACTAATCATCTGTTCTTTGTCTGCCATACAACTTGAAGGACAAATTTTTTTAAATATAATATGAGGCACCAAGAGTCTGAGTTAGCCAAATCAAGACCTACGAAATTTCCTCTTATTGTTACTATCGATCCCCTGCAGCTCAGCAAGGTAACACTGTCCAGGAAAACACAAAGACAGATTATGGACAGGAGGAATGATTACAGCCACCAGTTTCAAAGCACATATGTGCATGTGAGTATTGTTTTAAGATAGACAAAAATGTGAATTTTTTTTTCTTTTTACTGAAATTTAATAAAATAAACACCTATTATTCCAAGATCCGTTCTACTATACTTTGACTTTTAAACATTTTTGCTCTCAAACTAAATATATATTATATATAATATAATATAGTCTCAATAAATGAACCAAGATGTTAACTTCAATAGATTAAGGGTGTTTTAACATAATTGTGCCCTTTTTGGACTTGAATAACTTTAATGCCTTCAGGTATAGCACATCTTGAAAGAGAAAAATAATAATTGTATTGTTTGTAAAGCAAATACTCTGAATTAAAGGCCACCTTCTTTATAATGAATTTGCACAATCCACATCCATTTTCTTAATCGACAGCAACTTCTCTCTTATCTGCAGTTATATATACACACCTGGAAGCTTCCTTGTGTAACCACAGTCCTCAGCTGCTGCCCACTGACCAGCTCCAGTCTAGATAGTGGGGTTAACTGTCTGGTTTTTAGTGGGACTTGGAATTGGATTCAAAATAAGGACAAGGTAACAAGGTAGCCTTTATACTGAAATCATGGAGACAATTAATTTAAATGTAATATAAATCTTGCCATTTGAATCATTTAGTCAGCACATAGAGAGGTATGATATGCATACACAGAGTCAGTATTCTCAGTATTTTTTTCATAAAAGTTGATAGTTTTCAAAAGAACTCCAATATGAACCTCAGACTCCTCAGGTTTGAGTTGCAGCAGTGTTGCATTATAGTTTGAAAATGATTAGACATGAAGCATTTATGAAAAGCAACCATTATACGGTTCTCTATACATGTATTTAAAGCTGGTGTCTACTCTATTATCAATATTATTCAAAAATAAAATGAAGATATGTTATGTAACTTAAAAACATTAGATTATTGTGGCACATATTAAAGCATTGAATAGAAATATCTAAAGGTGGCATTAGAAATCAATTGTTTCAGGCAAATACATCTTACATCTTTCATCATTTAACTTGAGCCTATCACTTAGTTTAAAATTACTTAACATAACAGCTCCTTAAATTCATTTACATTTTTCACATATTATTTTTTTAATTTAATCTAAATTAATGTGTTCAGGCATTTTTGTCAGATCAAACAATTCAGTCCTCACAAAGTTCAAATAAAATTTTGTGAACTAATCTCCCTCAATCTGAGTTTTCTCACCACAACATCACAAAAACAACATGTAATTGTGATTTCCTTCTTTACAAGATCACTGGACAACACAAATAACAGGTTTGCAAATACTGAGAGTGACAATAACAGTTTGAAGAACATAACAAATGGCTAGGCACCAATTTATGTATGGGAAAAATGCAGAGAATGAGACTTACCTGATGAGATTGCCTTGCAGTGTTTCAGTACAATGTCATCCTGGAGTGTGCTGGCTATGCAGGCTGCCAGGCTGTGGAGTGTGTGCATGTGTGTGTGACTGATGAGTGTGAGAGTGTGTCCGAAAGTACTCGGTGACTCAAGAGAGCAATGTGGCTGCCTGTGGTTTCCTGACGGGCTCTATTGTGGTGGAAGGTGATATGTTTTCCTGAGGAAAGGCCCGTCCCGTCCTTTCTCCCCCTCCTACACCACAGACCCTCAACCCCCCCGCCCCTCTCTACACCGTACCCTGGGGACCCTTCTAATTACACTAATTGCATTAACTGTACAGTTGAGGAGGAGAGAGTAGGACAGAGCATTCCCCTGCAGTATTTTATGTTTTATTCTGCTCTACACATACTGTCTGTGTGTTTGCATGCATGTGTGTACGTGTGCATCGTGCCCTGACTGATTTCTGTTGCGATGAACTATGAGGATGATTCAGTGTCCGTGGCCTTGAGTCCGAATTCCGTTCATACACCACCAGCATTGTATTTTTCCTCTGCGGAAGATTTTATGTGGGTTGACCACATCGCTAAGCACTGGTGCTGCTGCTTCTTTGCTTCACATCAGAGCTTCAAGGTCACTGTAGCCATAGCAGGGCTCAAATGACACACAAAAAAAGAGCAGTGAGAGAAAACAGCTGGGGGATATATGAGTGGAGTGTATACGTGGAAATGGCTCAGAGTTGTATTGTGAAATTTTAGAGCAAGCAAGCAAAGCAACATGTCAACAAGGTAACAAACAGTTTAAACATTTCCCAAACCTTCACTGTGGCTCCCCCCTGCCATCTAGTGTACAGTCTGGTGTAGGACAAGAGGTAGTGTCCCACTCTAGCACACCTAACTATGATGGATCTGGAAAGATATTCATGGGGTGGGAAGACAGTGGCATGGAGACTTTAATGGGAGGCAGAAATACATGCATATTTAATTGCAAACAATTACACTAACTCAAAAACATTTCAATATTGTGGCACATTAGTAAATAACTGATTAGAAATATCTAAAGGGGATATTAGAAATCAATAAAAAAAAATATTTCTAAATCTTCAGACAAACATTTATTTTTTCATTGAACTGAAGCATATCACTTAGTCTAAAATTAGACCATAACAGATCATGGAATTCCTTTACATTTTAAGATGTTACTTAAAAAAAAGTTGTCTCATCATGTGTTATGTGCCTGGGCTTTTATAAATTCCTAGCCAAAGCTGAGGTCTAACCTGACCTTTATATGTATTTTAGGGAGTCACACAAGTTAGTAAAGTGTGTAAATAAGCTAAAAGTAACTTCAGGAAAAGTTAATGTCCTACTATTTACTAAGAATTTATTGACTTAATATTGATTAAGTCAAAGTTTTGGAATGTTCTTAAGAACATTTCTTAAAAGATTTATCCCGGTACAGATAAGAAGTGTGAGCAACTACTTGGGTTTTCTCCAGGGTGGGAAGGGTGGAGTGTGTATGTGTATGTAGTGATTTGTGTTCTTGCGTCGTTCTGGCAAAAGTTGTAAACAAACATTGGAACTATACTATAACTATATGAAGGGGGATGGTGCTTCGTTGATGTGACTGTAACATACCAGAAGGAGATATGATAATGAGCTTCTATGTCCCTCTCTCTAAACCCAACCGGTCGGAGCATATAGTTACCCACCTAGACACAGGGTCTGTTCGAGGACGTTTTTCCTTGCTACTGCCACCTTTGGTCTAGGCCTGCTCTGTATGAAATTACCTCTGTTATGATTTGCCACCAAATAAATAAAATTGAATTGAACAGAGTGATCCAAGTTCCACTCTGTTTTAAGATACAAAACAATATTGATAAAAAAAAAAACTTTGATAAAAAAGACAATATGAAAATTCAATATGACAGTCCACAATCCATCACTAAAAACAGCATAAAAAACCAAGAATTATCATTGCTCAGTGTCAACAAAACTGAAGAGTAGAAGCTATAAAGATATGATTTTTGTCTGAGCTATTATACTGGATGACATGAACTTGTACAGGAGTACCTAATGAAGTTGTATTTCATATTTCTTGCCTGGAAAAACATTACATAATATAGTAAATATCATTAAACATTAACCCACATTGAAAGAAATAATTTTATTAGCAACTTCTGAAAAGGACTGGTGTCTCTTTGCAAATAAAAAAAAATAAATGTAGTAACAATACATCTCAAAAACAGAGGATATGACAGTGAAATATTAAAAAGCTACAGAGTGTAAGCAATGCAACAGGATTATTTCCAGTGTTACATCATACTACTATGTTTCCGGTAATCGTGACAATAAATAACATTCATGAACATCACAATTTAACAGATGTTAAATAAGTCATATGTGCATCTAATCTAGTGGTGTCATCTAAAAAGTGGTGCAGTTAAAATGCTAATGTGTACAGTGGAACGTACTGTAACTGTGCCACAGTACAATTCAGTGTTACACTCAGATAGTGATGGTTGCAGTGTAAAATCCACCCTTGGTGGATCAGCCAGTGGTGTTGAATGCATAGCAGGATGTTATTTTGAAATTAAGAGCTGTATATTCTATTCTTTGATGATCCTCCTTTCATCTGATACAGTGCCAGAAACTGTTGCATCTAACTATGTGTACATGGAGAGTAATAATACTTGTAAGAGCAAGGTAGTGACACATTTTTTCAGTCGAGTAAAAGGGAAAGTCACATGTTTTGGTGCTGCAAATTACAGGTCCTTTGGGGATACTGCTAGTGGGTAAATTTATATTTAGATGATGTATTTCTTCCTGTATGATTACTGACTGAATGACTATTTGTGTTGAATGGGATCTTGAGTGAAGCCCTTGCTCTTAGATAAGCTTTTGAGTTGAAAATGTAGTTCTGTTTAATGTCTTATCCATGGCCAATTATCCACCCACGAGATATGTCACAAACAGCTGTTTTTTTCAACAAGTGGTTAATAGAATAGTTTGATTTTGGGAAATGTGGGGAAAATGTGGGAAAAAAATTGCTGTCTTGCAGAGAGTTAGACGAGAAGACTGATACAGCTCTCATATCTGTCTGTTACAGGACTAGTCTGTGGGATTTAGTGGCATCTAATGGTGTAGATGCAGATTGCAACCAACCTGAACCAACATGCAGAAACACAAACTCCCTATCTAGAGCTATCTAGAGTGGTTTGACTGGGCTACTGTAGAAACATGGCAGTTCAACATGGCAGACCCGTGTAGATAAAACCATCTCATTCTAAGGTAACAAAAACATAACGATTCATATATTCACATACACTAATGGAAAGTGTCAATAGATCCTCCTAAACATTACACACTGGACCTTTAAGTATAAGGCTACCACCAATGGCCATTAGCTAAGCTTAGCATAAAAACTGAAAGCAGGAAAAACCAGCCTGTCCAAAAATGATAAAATCTGCCTACCAGCACCTCTAAAGCTACCTAGTTAACATGTCTTGTTTGCAGCTTGCTGAGCTTGTTTAATCGTTATAAAAACTAAAGTGTAAAAATGACATGTTGTGGTTATATGGCAGGCTATGTGCTGGCCTATTTCTTGCCAGTTGCAGTGACGTCCTGCGGTCTTGTTCACAAGATGTTAATTACGTGTTCATTTAGAGGGGTTTTTGTTACATTTTGTTACCCTTGCGCAGAGCCATGCTAGTTGTTTTTCAGTGTATCCAGTCTTTATGCTAAGCTAGGTAAATTGCCCCCTGGCTGTATTTTCATATTTAGTGTACTGATATAAGACTGGTATGGATCTATTCATCTAACTTTTAGCAAAAAAGCTTTAGTGTTATGGTAGATATTTCTTTCCAAGACATTTTTGTTTCCATGTCATGACAGTGTGTGTGTGTGTGTGAGCGTGTGTCTCGGTTAGGGGGTTGTCAGAGGGTCTGGTTTTGGCCTCGGGTGTGCTGCAAGTGTTGGGGTTGGTGTTGGCTGTTGAAATGGTAGGGCTCGTGGCGGTAATGGCTGTGGCAGATGACCGGATGCTCGATGCCTTCGCTCTGCAGTTCTTCCTGCTTGTGAACTCCCTCCAGCTTTGTCACCAGCTCTCTGATGAAGGCCTGAGGACAGCAACCAGAGCAAGTGTCACATGGAGCAGAGATGAAATGCAAATCACTCTTCCCAAGTCCCGCCCCTTTTTGTTCTGTGCTCCAATAACAATTGACCAAGCCTCAGTCAACTTTCTCCTTCCCTGTACTTGGATATGCTATGTGCTAGGCAAATCTATGTTAAAAAGACAACCACATTTTGAAGACTTAAGTCAGCTAGCTAATGTTGGTAAAACGCAAGCAAACTAGCTGACTGATGTAGATTAGCTAGGTAGTTAGCTAGTCAATGCCGTCTAGTTGCTATACTTTCCAGTTAAAGGTGGGACACGTGAGGAAGGAGGTCGGTGAACGTGACTTAATGTAACGTGAAAAAAAAACGTAAATACATTACCTCGTCCATGTACAATTTCTGTATGAGACACGTCAGATAAATTTTCATCAGCTATAGTGGTTGTTTAACAATGAGCCAATGCAACTTCACAACATCATTTAACTACATCTTTTGTTATTGTTTTGACGTGACAGACACCAAGCAGCAAAAAATGACATAAAGTATTTGACTTGTTTTGAAGAATGTTCTTTAGAAACAAATGGATTTGGGGCCTAGAGCCTCATACACAGGTCGTAAAACACGGAGAGACGGACTGACACATTGCTGGTTTGGGTCTTTACATGGGATTTGTTGACAATTAGGGACATTTCAAACCTTTTCCTTGAACTTTTAGCTGTTATGGTTAGTAGTTTCTGTTTTGTGCTTGTTTCTCTGCTAGACTACAACACATCTGCACATTCTCCTCTTCAGCACCAGCTTCAACAGAAATATTGTTGATTCCAACTAAGACAGTTTACATTGACTTTGCTCTGAAATATACAACTGGCATATACATTCATAAACATACTTAAATACTGTAGACGGCCAGTTTATGAGAGGTGGTACCAAATTCTAGCATATAAAATGGAAGGTGCATGAAAGATGGGGCTATGGTTCAAAGATGATTAGCTGTTACAATATGCTGAACTATAAAGTATTTTCCACATATTTTGAGCAAAACACAAAAGGAAGCATCCCAGTTGAGTTGCAGCAGAGATACTTTATATGGAAACATGAGAATCACTGGTCACTGACAGTATGCCTCTTGTCAGCTTTGTTTGTTTGCATCGTTAATAAAATCACTATCACAATTAATAACAGCTGGATAAGCACTCGACCATTTTGTTCCAAGACAAGTTAAATGACTATGCATTCATCCCTTATCAGAACATTCAACAAACAACAATTAGCAGTGAAGAAGCAAATATAGTGCCAAATAAATGTTGTTTTAGCCATTTTCCACCCCCTTTTTTTGTCCATAGATGGAAAAAGGCCCTGAAGAGCAGCGGGGTCCCGGGAGGATGAGCCAAAGGCCACCGATGAGGGAGTACAGTTCCCTCTCTGTCTACCATTTTCTGCTGTGGTGTAAATGTGTTGCTCAATAAGTTGTTTAAAGCTGTCAGAATAAGTCATTAAATAGTTCAACGGCCTATGATCAGAATGTACATGCCAGGCAATAACACTTCTTGAGCATGACATTAGGTTCACCTCTTCTACTGCTTACCTCGCAGTCTGAACTATATCCTGATGAGAAACAGCATCTAGATATGGTATGTTATGACAACAGTTCAAGTAGAGGTGAACAAAACAACCAGTCCTAGTCTTTACTGTAAGCATGTGTTTGGCTATGGATTCATGTGTTTTTGTTTTCTCTTTTTTAGGTCATTAATCAGCAGTAGTTAAGGTTAATTCTAAGCTGTGGCAAAATCTCACACAAGCAGTGAACATGTCAGATAGCCAGCTGCCTGGCCTCTGTTCATGTCTTTAGCTACAAACTCAGGTTGCTTGATGTGGTGTGTGATCTTAGAAGAAGATTTAGTTGTAAGCAGCTCTTAAGAGGCAGACTTTTCAAGTCTTTCTTAAAACAATACTCACATGCCCATATAGGGCCATGTACTGGAAAGCAACTAGAGATATAATATGTATCACGTACAGGCGTTTCAATTCAATCTGTAAGATTCTGTAAGAAAAGTGATATACTGCAATTTTTTAAATCAAATTTTAGAAAAATTTTCAAAGCATAAAGAACACACATGTATGCATAAAACCTGAGTAAAAACATTTTTATGCAAACAGAACAGTGGAATCTACATTTGTATTTATCACAGTTCCTGTAACATCCAACATCATAGCCCTCAGTTTACGTCTATGCAAAGATCTGCTTTTGAGAGTATTTTTCTATATTTTTTTTTCTATATTTTTGCTTGGTGTAATTATTCCTTCTTTTCAAGCTGGCCATTAAGCAAAAATACAACCCAGTATTTGTTAAAAATCAGGCATTACCAGTTTGAGATCAGTTTTCTTGGTAAATTTCCTTTTTGTGTTACTGCCAATGTACAATGTCATGTAAGTAATGTTTTAAGACAGACTTGAAAAACACATCCACATCAGAGTCTAATAAACTATGTCTGAGTAAGAAAAGCGGCAGCTACACTGACCCTCCCTGCTCTTTTGCCTGTGTTTGCATCTCTGGGGCCACAGCGAGGCCAACGTTTGTGTCCAGAAAGACTCATTGTTTCAGGCTCAAAATGGAAAGAAAATTCAAGAGAGCACAGAAAGCCATTGTTGGGGCGTGTGGAGTGACCATAGGACGAGGTGTCAGAAGCTGCAGCTTCAGTTTAGCTGCACTGCACATTTGTATATGTAATGTGTGCATCATCATGACTAATCTTGGGTTGGAAATGAATTTTGGTTAAAACATACCTCCGTGTTGTGACTGCACTTTTGAAGAAGTTCCTGTTTAACAAAAGCAAATAAACCAGTCACAAAATCATATATTAATTTTCAATATAACATAAACATGACAATATTTCACCTATATATCTCGTTTTGTCAATATCAGTCAGTGATAAGTACTGTACAATGATATAAACTCTTTCAAACATTTCTATTTGAGTGCCCCGAACAAAAGATGTCCATCTTGGTGCAGAAACTCATCATGGGGTGAAATGGATGGATATATGACAAAATATTTAACAAATCTGTATACCTCTTCCAATTTCATAATCAGCAACACCCTCAAATACAGTATGATGAGTGCTACCACGGGTCATGTTACCTGTAACTTTTTGATTCGCTCCTCATCATTAGGCAGGTCAATCAAGTCATCAATGTTTACCTCCTCTGGCATGTCACTTTCCTGAAGTAAATATGGACACACACAATCTTAAGAGTCATCATCATACACACTCAGAACACACATTTATCGTCTGGTCCAGCCAACTTCAAACATTTCCCATACAGTCCCATTTGTTCCCATGCTTCATTCAGGTGGACAATATATTACACTAATAGTACAGTAAGTCATATATTCAAACCCCCAGGTCATTTTTTGTAGCTGCACCATTACTTAAAATGGAAGAAAAGGTTTTCCCCATAATTCAGCCTATATATCTTTAATTTGAAATAAAATTCTTCATATTTAAAGGAATAGATCAAGCAGTATTAATTAATTCACATATATCAGATCCATTGTTTAAATAAAAACATTAAGAGTCTCCAGCCACGCAAGCAGCTTTGTGAGGCTAAGCTAAATACTTAAATCAGCATACCAACACAGCCCACAGGAAATGCACTGGGATAATCTGACATAGTGATCAAACCATGTAATTACAGCAATGGCGTGATGCACACTGGCCCAAAAAGACTTTTTCCCATAAGCTTACATTGTGAAAGAAGTGGCTGTGAAACGGGGGGTACAACCCCCGAAAAATGACTCATACATCCAAGTGCAATATGCTCACAATGCTAGCATTTTGATGTTTAGCAGGTATAACAATTACCATGTCCACCATCTTAGTTTACCATGTTAACAGTTGCTTAATAGCACTAAACACAGTACAGGTCCAGCTGAGCCTGATGAAAAACCAACCATAGTATTGGACAAAATTACATTTTGACCAGATAATGGTGCTAGATGAAAGGTCTGGGGGATCAAAGTTATTTCAGTTCTTTGGGGATTATGAATGCGTGTATCAAATCTTATAATAGAGATATTTAATTTAAAATAAAAATGTTATGGTACTTGATGAAAAACCAAAACTATTTTTTGGATATTCTTATGTAGGGCAAAGAGATATATGTGTGACATGCATCTTAAAAGGTCCAGTGTGTAACATTTAGGAGGATCTATGGGCAGAAATGGAATATAATATTCATAGGTATGTTATCATTATCATTAGTGTATAATCACCTGAATAATGTTTTTGTTACTTTAGAATGAGCCTTTTATATGTACAGACAGAAATTCTGCTGCCTGCCCTTGAGGACCGCCTCTTTGCGGAGTTCTTGCTCCTGATTGTATAAAGTTGGACCAGGACATGAGGAAATGCATTCTCGATTACTGCAGAGAGCAGGGACTGGGAAAGCCATGTTACTGACTAAACACCTTATATCAGTGATGGCTGTCAGAATGTAGAGCTATTTAACACTTGTTTTAACAAAACAAAAAAATAACTTACTGCAGCTTTAATGATAAGCCATTGTCAACAGGTGAGAAGAATAACATACTGCTCCTCCACAGTATCTCCACAAAAAAAGCATTTTCTGTTTCAGCAGCAACTGAAGACTTTGCATTCAACCTTGCATGTCCATTATCTGTATGTTTAGGCTGTGGGGGCTGAATGGTAACAATGTTCACGTAATACTGTAACAGAGGCTTTTTCTGTTTGAACAAACAGCCATTGTACCAGCTGAGTGAAGGGGCAGTCCCACCCGCCCATCTACACCACAGCACTGCACTTTGTGTGTAGTTAGGCCTTTGACACATACAGGACTCCACAGCCCAGCAGCCTCATCTGTACACACTTAAACAATACAGGCACGTCCTTCTCACCTGAAAAAGTAATACAATTATAAGAGTTCATTTTGTTTTGTATGCGACATGACTGGGTTCAACTCAATGACACTTGTCTGAGAAGTGTATGTTGTCATCACGGGCCGTATTACGACAACAAAACAGATTCAAATCCTTGAAATCATTCAAATGACCATTTACTATCCCTTTAAAATTACATAAAATTAAGGTTTTGGAGGTTTGTGTGAATATGCCATTGGCTTGGGGGCAAAAGTTCTCCGAAGGCTTGGCCCTGCCTTATCATCGTGGTGATCTGAATGCTGTTTTCTAATACAGTGGTTTTCAAACTGGGGTCACGGTCCAACAAGGGTCCTTGAGTGAGTTGTACAAGGTCCCCAGCAAAAGAAGGAATAGAATACTTATTTTTTTTCTGTTATAATACTGATTCCTTAAGACAAAATCCTCTCAAAATGGTCGTCGGTGGTCTAATGTGCATGTATTGTGGGGGTGATTGACATGAAAAAGTTTGGGAACCCCTGTTCTAATAATCAACTTGGTTTTACAACACAGTCCTGCACTTCCCCCCCTAAGAGCGGCCTCAGCAGCCAGATGCAGAGTGTTTACCTCCTCCTGGGACCTACAACAGCGCTTTCGTTTCTTCATAACTTTCCCCTCTTCCTTTTTCTCATCATTCATCCTCCTCTCCGTTCCACACTGCCCATGTAAGGCAGAAAGACCCGATACAGATCTGTTAGAGGGGGGACAGCAGTGGACCTAACATCTACAGGATGCTTGTCCTTGTAAGGAGAACCAGGATGCCCCACCTCTCTCCATATATCACATTCTAGTTCAAAATGAAAGAAATTTAATTTTATATTTAAAACTTTCTGCCTCATTTTCCACATTTTACTGCAGAGAGGCACAGTTAAAACATCTACATGATCTATTTAAAAAAAAATGTATAAGTTATTGTCTTACTACACAATGGAGTACATTTAAACAAGATGTTTCTTTCTGCTCTGCTTCCTCTCGGACCCATGCACCCACCTGACCCGAGTAGAGCCGGTCCAGGCTCTCATCGATCCACTTCTCCACGTCCAGCCGCCTCTGCAGCTCCTTCCTGTTGTACTTCACGGTAACCCGGGCATGTCTCTTCGGGACACTGCCCCCGTGATCCGGAGACAACCCCAAATCTGATGAATGAACTTCGTCATTTTCTTCAAGCGTCGTCCTGGTCCGGTTGGCTGCCATTTCTGGTCTGGTCTGGACTGGTCTGACTGGTTTCTCGTCTCGCTTCAAGGGCAGGAGGTGAGAGAGCGGCGGTGGGAGGCGACGACGGCACAGACTGCAGGGCACAAGTGTTTATATGGGCTAGGGTATTTATTCTACTGCTGCTAAACTATTTGCATGGCTTTATTTATTTTCTCTTGCAAAAGACTTTCATTTGAACTTTAAAAGTTCAAAAAAATATATATACATATATATATATATATATATATTCACAGATTCGCACTTCC